TAAAATAATCTAAATAAATTTGAAATCATTTTATTTGGATGTGCGGGGAGTCAGATAAGATGGCTCAATGTGTGAATCCAAAGGCATCTTTAACATAACGTAATTGAAGTTCACCGAACGTACCCTCAACAATGAATATGTGTTTTCACTTGATTGATGAAGAACTAATATGAAAATCTAGTTTATTACTTTATTTATGATTTATAATTGGATTTAATTTAAAATAATAATAATTATATAGATCTAAATCTTAATTTATTAAAAAAAATTTATTTATAATATTTTTATTTTTTGGCACATAAAATGCATGCTCGACTATTTTTATCAATTATTTCAATTCATTTTAGAAAGATAAAAATATAAAAAATTAATAAGTACACAAAATTTGAAATGGATTTAAGTAAAAAAAACTAAGAAAGAAAATGCATGCACCTAGCAATCATGCGGTCTCTTTCGCATGTAACTTTTTGAAATCAATGCTACTATGAGAGCATGCATTTGTTCATATAGGAATATGCTTTTATATTGTTCATCCTATGAGATGCTTCATTTGGTGGCTAAGTTTGCTAAATGAAATTTAGCAACTGATAATAATAATTCATGTTTCTGTTATTGTGTAAGATTGAAATTTAAACATTTTTACAAAATAACTTCAGTTTTTTAGTCCTCTCCGTACATCACTTCCCTGCAATTGCTTACAAGTTTCCTTAGTTACATTTTTTTGACCACTTTTGTCAAGTACATGTGGAAAATGACATGCTAAAAACATGATGTGTGTAAATCGATGTTGCACCTTTTATAGAGAAGTAAAAAATAACTCGAGTTTTTCAATCTTCTTCATCCATCACTTCCCTACAACTGCTTACAAGTTTCCTTAGTTATGTTTTTTTTACCACATTTGTCAAGTACATGTGGAAAATGACATGCAAAAAACATGATGTGTGTAAATCGATGTTGCACCTTTTATAAAGATTTTCAATCTTCTCCGTCAATCACTTCCCTGTAACTGCTTACAAGTTTCCTTAGTTACATTTTCTTGACCACATTTGTCAAGTACATGTGGAAATTGACATGCAATAGATATGATGTATGTATATGCTAATATGTAATGCAAGAGTGGTAGAATTTCTAAACAAAATAATAATCCATGAATAAGATAGTTGTAGAAATTTTAAAATAAAAAAATAATATGGAAATATCATCATGTAATAGGTGGATAGGAATCTCTTTCCTAATTTTTTTACAATTGCTTATGGTTCCTCAATTACACTTTTATGAAAAAAATTCCTTACACCCAAGTTGAATAGGTAAACTCATCACAATCAATTCAATTGCATCCTCACTATGACTTCAAAAATTAGTTTTGCGTTTAGCTTTACATGTTACCTTATAAATTTAAGAGATTATGTGGTGGTTGGGCACATTAGTGTACTGTTTGTGATATGAATCCTTAATCCTACTTAATGTATATGATTTATTACATCAATTTTGCATCTAATTTCATGGCTTAGTAATCTTCTAAGAATTTTTTGGCATAATTTCCAATATTGAAGTTTTATTTTGCTTTAATAACATCTAAAGGTTGGTCTTCATATTTTTTGCTTTCTAGAGAAAAGATATTCACATGGTTCTTTTTCCTTGCTTTTTATTGTCTACAGTCATATGAGCTATAATATTTTTGAGAGATTGAAATAAATAGAAACATAAATACTGCTTCTATGTTTGGCATTTCTCAACATGA